GCCCCGGGGCTTAATTTTAAAGGCCGCTGTATCGATAAGCTCGATTTCTGTTGAGACATTCAGATGGTAGAGTCAGAATTTGGCGTAAACAGAATGAGAACATGGATCCATCATGCCTTGTTACCACTGTGCAGGCTGGTGGTGGTGGTGTAATGGTGTGGGGGATGTTTTCTTGGCACACTTTAGGCCCCTTAGTGCCGATTGGGCATCGTTTAAATGCCACGGCCTACCTGAGCATTGTTTCTGACCATGTCCATCCCTTTATGGCCACCATGTACCCATCCTCTGATGGCTACTTCCAGCAGGATAATGCACCATGTCACAAAGCTCGAATCATTTCAAATTGGTTTCTTGAACATGACAATGAGTTCACTGTACTAAAATGGCCCCCACAGTCACCAGATCTGAACCCAATAGAGCATCTTTGGGATGTGGTGGAACGGGAGCTTCGTGCCCTGGATGTGCATCCCACAAATCTCCATCAACTGCAAGATGCTATCCTATCAATATGGGCCAACATTTCTAAAGAAAGCAATGACGTACATCCGAGTGAACGAGACGGAGGGAAGTTAGCGAGTGTAGGGCATGACAATTTTGGACTGGAACGCAGCATAAGACGTGAAACAAAAAAACAAAACTAGGCATGACAAATGTGTTTTGCAGATGGTAAAGTATGAATGACAAAAGTGTTCTTGGATTTGGGGAAATGTGCATGGTCATTAAATGCATTTTGTGTGAAAGCAATAAAAAATGATTCACAGTTTGGTCCTGTTTCCCTGAATGTGTGAAGACCTTTCTTTTACTGTCTATAGTGAAGAGTTTTGGAAATGGGACAACAGATTATGTTAGCAATTGAAAAACAAACTGTAAATACTGCCTTTCCAAGCAGAGAAGGTTGGACTTTGTCGCCCTCTTGTGGACATCAAATGCTTTGTCCATTATCATTTCATCTTCACGTTTTGTCCTTTATATAGGTGAAACTCAAAAAATTAGAATATCGTGCAAAAGTTCATTTATTTCAGTAATTCAACTTAAAAGGTGAAACTAAATTTTTATATAGACTCATTACATGCAAAGTGAGATATTTCAAGCCTTTATTTGTTATAATTTTGATGATTATAGCTTACAGCTTATGAAAACGTTTTCACAATATTTTAATTTTGAATTTGGGGTTTTCCTTAACTGTAAGCCATAATCATCAAAATTATAACAAATAAAGGCTTGAAATATCTCACTTTTCATGTAATGAGTCTATATAATATTAGTTTCACCTTTTAAGTTGAATTACTGAAATACATGAACTTTTGCACGATATTCAAATTTTTCGAGTTTCACCTGTATGTATAGGCCTACATTATTGTATTGCCATCTTGCCTTGTGTCGTGTGTCTAAAATTATGGAAAAACTTGTTAATAAACAACAAATCAATCATCTTACGGTATCATCTCCAGGGCACAGTCTGGCTTCCGATCAGGGTATGGTTGTGTTGCAGCTACCACTAAAGTGCTCAATGACATTACATCCGCGTTAGATATCAAACAACAATGCGCTGCAATATTTATTGACCTTGCAAAAGCTTTTGACTCCGTGGACCACAACACACTTATCACACACAGATTTAAAAAAAAAACTTTTTCCCACTCTCTACCGGTCACCAGGGGTGTCCCCCAAGGCTCCATCCTTGGCTCTACACTTTTCTCAATTTATATTAATAACATTCCCCAGGCAGTTGGTAATTCACTCATTCACTTAAATGCTGATGACACAATCCTTTATGCCACGGGTTCCTCTCCTGATGCTGTTCAAACTACCTTGCAAGATAGCTTTTTCCAACTACAGCAATCCTTTACACAACTCAAACTCACTCTTATACCTTCAAAACAAAAACCATGTGGTTTTACCGTAAGGGATGCTCCAGCCCTTAAAATCACCACTTGCAAGGGAGCTATTCTAGAACAAGTCACTGCATATAAATACTTGGGCAACTTCACTGTCTTTCTCCATCCACATATCAAAGCTGCAATCTAAGGTTAAGGCCAAGCTTGGTTTTCTTTACAGAAACCGCTCTTCCTTCACTACTTCTGCCAAACTTACTCTTATTCAAATGATTATTCTACCCATGTTAGACTATGGAGACACTATATACAGGGTTGCTTGCAAGTCCACTCTATCAAATCTTGACACTCTTTACCATTCCTAGGGTGACCATATTTTGATCACCAAAAACAGGACACTCGGCCCGGCAATGAGATTCTCAAATAATACTCGAAGTTTACTCAAAGATGCCTTATTAATTTCAATACATTTAAAGTAGGCTATGCCTCCTGTATGGATACAAAATTGTTACAAAATACTATCTATAACCAGACACAAATTCAGATAGGCTTCTCAGAGGTTACTCAACATGTTTTATTATGACAGGTTTCAAAAATAATGAATGATATAATGATAGAATGTCTCTTCTGTATTAGAAAAATAAATAAAAATAAAAAAAAAATAAAAAAAAAACCTCCAAATTGAACAAAAATATGTCTCACAAACTTGTTTTTCTTCCTCAACCTCCTTGTTTGCCCATCTATATTTTGCTGTGGATCTTTCCCAGTAGTTTTTTGTTGCTTTTTTGCATTTTGCATTTTCATCACTTTATAAAAAACAGCCAAACAAACAGATGTTTGGTCACCCTAACCATTCCGCTATCAGGTTTGCCATAAATGCTCCTTTCAATACACACCACTGCGCTTTATATTCATCTGTCAACTGGCCCTCCCTTCACAATCGCCTCAAAATTTACTGGTTCACCTTCATTTACAAGACCATTCTCGGCCGCTCACCTCCTCACTTAGGTCTCCTGCTGCAGCCAAAGCCTGTCACACACAACACCCGGTCCTCACTTCGTCTTCAATTATGTATTCCCAAAACTAACTCTGCCTTTGGTCTTGCTTCTTTTCAATCTGCTGCCGCTCGCGACTGGAACGCTCTGCTAAATATTCTCAATCTGAATACAATAATTTCAATTTCATCTTTTAAAACTATTATATCATCCTTGTTCACGGACAAATGCAGTTGCTTCTCTACATAATCATTTTGTGTTGTCTACTGTGTTGTGTTTTAAATTGTATTATTGTTAACCTGTATGTATTTCTAATATTTTTCTAATGCACTGTATTTATTTTAGCCCTATTTTCTTTTCCCTAAGTGGTTATTCCACTTGTCAGGCCGCCATTGTAAATAAGAATTTGTTCTTAATGACTTGCCTGTAAAAATAAAGAACAAAAAAAAAAAAAAAATTATATAACATATATCATCCCAGCATCTATCTACTGCACATGTTGTCATGTTGTGCTGAGACGTCAAATTCAAGTAGTGCTTCAGATCCAGATTCATAGCTTAATAATGTTTATATATATATATATATATATAATGCAATTTTTTTTCTGTCTAAATTATTTGTCAATTTCTTTCTAAAATATTTTTCAAATTACTTTTATTTATTCTAGATTTATTTCGCCTATTTATTTTCTAAATCAATTAAATGTATTATATTATTAACATTTTTTTATAGTATGTATTATTATTATTATTATTATTATTATTATTACAGTTTTCAAAACTTTGAATATTTTTGTCAAAACTTTACACACAAATCCAAGAATTGCACAAAATGCAAAATGCATGTGTGTGTGTGTGTGTGTGTGTGTGTGTGTGTGTACCAGGTGGATCCAGAGATTCCGCTCAGATAAAGCACACAGTCCAGAAGACCTGTTTTCTGCAGTTGATCCAGGGATCCCAGCAAACCCACCATGGCTCTTTGTCCTCCTCCAGATCCCAGTAATGCTACAGTAAAGTTTGGCACTTTGTTCTGAAATGCACATGGTTTAATTGACCAAACAATTGATGTTGACCAGCTAAAACACCATTTATAAATATCCAGGCAGATAAACTATAATATTACCTCACTGCAGGTTATCTTAATTTTCTTCAGGCTTTGTAGAACATCATTTCTCCTTCTGGCTACAAACTCCTCCTCTTTCTTATTCAAAGAGTGTTTGATTCTCACGTCACTGCAGCGACACACAGACCAGTGCTGAATTTATACAGCTATTTTATTTATTTTTGAAAAGTTATTGTCAGAATTATCCAGTTTGTAGACATTAATCGTGATGCAATACGGTATATATATATATATATATATATATATATATATATATATAATGAAGTGCAAATATTTAATCATAGGAGTCTGAGCAGAATTACCTTTCCTGGGGTTTAGATCCTCCCATCTATAAAACAACAGAGTCAAACATTAAAGTTAAAATCTATCATTTCAAAACTAATACAGAAAATCCATTGAAAATCAACTGTACAGTTCTTTTGAAAAAATGTGTCATACCTCAAATGTCAATTATTGAGCCACAGTTTTGTGTTGGTAACTTTAAAACATATACTCCCGGTTATTGTACAGTCTTATAAAATTGTAAGGCTTCACCAATATCAGCACAACAGCCGTCGACTCTCAGATCAGACAGAAGAGGCTCTTATATACTTATAGGTCACTGAAACTGAAGTCTAGATGAGGGGTGAGCAAATGAAATGAAATCAGAAACAGATTTAATAAATTAAAAAAAATATTCTGAAGCAAAAATACCTTTTTGGCTGGTTTTGCTGTACGTTGTGGAGACATAACCTCTGCATCTAAATTAAGTGTGAAAAGTGCATTTTACAGTTTTTCTCAATCGATTTAACTGGCTGGTCACACTTTATAACAGGAAATAAGTGCAATAGATTTAACAAGTTAGGTCAAGAATGGAATATGTTTTCTTTCTCTTTGTAATTTTTTATCAATATGGTAGGCCTACAAGATTATCCTATTCAAATCAATGTGCTAAAACTTACATTTGTAACATAGAATTTTTGTCATGTAATTTGGAATCAGCAACTGACTAAAATTCGTAAGTAATCCGTCCATAGGATACCTCCTCTCTCACGCATGCGCACACGCACTCACGCGCACGGATCATCTGATGACGTGGTGCCGTTGGCGTTCGCTGAGCTGCGCGAGAGGATGGCGGACCAGAACAGGCAAATCAAACTCGCTGCAGCCAAGAAAAAGGTACAGTTATGTGATTTAACGTAGTATTTCACTATCTTTGTAACAAAAGACAACTGTCGATTGTAATTGAATCGATTCTGAGCGTGTGTGCCCCATCTGTCATGTTGACATTCCACGTCTACCGGCCTCTCCTCAGGCCCGCGTCCGGGAATCCGGCACTCTCGGGCGGGCGCGGCTGTCAGGAAAGCTCGGGGATTCAGCTGAGATAAAGCCTGAATATTAACTCATTAGAGTTTATCTCTCTACACGCGTTTATAACGATTTTAACTAGTCAGAAATGTTCTAAAAGTGTCTGTATGTGAATGTCAGTGTAACTTGGCAAGCTAATGTTGTTAGCCTCTGTGTTTTGTTGTTGTTTATAAATCTGAAACTGACGCCAACAACAACAATGTGAATTAGTGGACAATAATTGAATGTTTTTTTTATGAAGTTCATGACTTTAGGCTCGTTTAACCAGCTTATTAGTGTTAGCCTACTTGCTAACTGCTAGTTAAAATGACAGGTCCAATTGAAACAGCTGGTTGATAATCTTTGTTAACAGTAAAAGTGCCTAACTAATAGGTTTAATTGGTTTTCGATCCCCTTATAGTGCGCTTTTTGGTTGCTGTTTGAGGTTTAATTGATTAAATGACAGATCAAATCTATGATTATTAGTGTTTTTGTGCAATGATGCATGTTGAGTGCACTTGATGATGCCCAAAAGTGCAGCTCATGTGTACACTAGGTCAAATCAGCACGTTATACAGTACATATTGTTTCAAAGCAGCTGCACACTAACAAATAAGAGAATCAATAATGCAAACTTCATCATATATGAGACAAATTCAAATCCAAAAGCTCTAAACATTATTCAGCTCAAGTCAGGTCAAATGTTGTTCTCCTCTAATAGTGTCAGTGCAGTCAATTTGATAGTATTACTGAATATTAAGTGTCATATATACCTCCACTAAGCAGGCCAAAGGAACAGCTGCTGTCTGGCCTGGACCATCAACAACATGTCTTGAAAAAATCAACTTTGGAATTTAAGTTTTGGCTCTGTCATATGAGAGCTTCATATTAATTTAGACCCATGTGTCCCATGACAGCTGAATCACAAATCTGACCTACTAGAGAGACTGTGTTCGTTCTCAATCTCTCCATATCGCAGGATCGGACGGGAGCTTCTTCACGAACAGAATGCTGTGGAACTTGATTTAGTTTTGATGAATGAGTTCAAGCCAGTGTGCTTAAACTAGGGCAGAATTAGCACAGATTATTGACTCGAGTAGTTTCTGCCTGTCAGTGGCACTGGTGCATTGATGCTTGATTTAGTTCAACAGCAGCCAAAGAGTATCAGTCATAATCACAATCAACACAATTCTTTGTGTAGAAATACTTTTCACAACAGAATTGCTAGTAAATTTCACTATTAATTACAAAGAAATTGCATGTAACACGTCGAATTAAAGTAGAAAGACTAGAAAAGTATTTTCACTCCCCAAGCAATTATTTAATAATTTTTTATAGTGTAATGTCTGATTGTCATTGCATTATATAAAACAATATTAAACAAATGCAGCATGATCTTCTCATTTCTGCTCACTAACTTTAATCAGCAGAGTTTTTGGTTTGGATCAGTTTTATTAGTGTTTTATTAATATTTTGAATGAGCTTTTATTTTTATATTTTAAGGTAATTTCTTGTAATTTCATTGTGTGCTTTTTTCTATAAATATTGCTATTTAGGTTTAATTTATTTTTATTTTAGTTTATATTTTATTCCCACTCTAGTTCATAATTTTAGTGCTTCGACTTTTTTGCCAAGGCAACATTTTTTATTTTGGCAGTTTTATTTCAGTTAACAGAAATGCTTTTAATAGTTTAATTTTAATTAACGATAATAACCCTCCACTTTTAGGAAGTAAGGAAGAAAATAACTAGCTTCTAGCTTTTTTAAGCATGAAGACAAACGGATGCATGATAGCAATATGCGATAACTCATTAAATAATGTGATATTCGATATGCGAGTTTTACTGTCGCATAAGAAGTGTTATTAACATCAGTGTGTTCAGGGCTTCAGCTTATCCTACATTAGAGTTATTAAACAACAGAAACGGAATAATCAAATGTAAAATTAAAACACAGTTTAGTTTTCACTGTATGAATTAAATATATACTGATTCTTATTAAAGCTACAAAAGTTATTCAGCCGAGAGCAGCGAGTGATTTTCTCTGTCTTGTGTTCATGACCCAGTTATTGCAAGCCGTTGCGATATACAGGTGAGACTCGAAAAATGAGAATATCGTGCAAAAGTTCATTTATTTCAGTAACTTAAAAGGTGAAACTAATATATTATATAGACTCATTACATGCAAAGTGAGATATTTCAAGCCTTTATTTGTTATAATTG